GGGACTCGTTCGCAAGACTACCGCTATTTCGGCTCGATCTCGATGTCAAACAAGGTCTGACCACTCTTGTTACCATCTCAGCGCATCTACCTGACAGGCCCTCTATTCCTACTTTTACTAGACATCTCTTTGCCTGCTCTCCAACCCTGTGCATCGAGACATTCTCACCGTCATCACGGACAAAGAATCCAAACGCCCATATATCCTATTCTTACGATTAACTGACGACCATCTGACAGCTCACGTAAAATGCCGTTCGCTCATTGGATTCTGATTTTGGTCCGTTGCCCACAGGCATGTCACGGCCCAGGACTGCGCTGAGGGTGCATGATACCCTTGAGTAACACTGATCAAGATGTCAATGATCAAACAGGCACTGAACTGTATCACTTGTTTCCATTAACTTCCTACAACATCTCTCCACTGCACCGTTCACAATTTAAGCACCAGCGCTCTTCGAAATCTTACAATACGTTTCAAGTCCATGGACGTACCACAGCCATCCTTGAATGACCTCCCGTTAGAGCTCATCCTCTGTATCTGCGACTACCTCTCACTGGACAGCATCCTCGCCCTCACACTGACCCACGCCCACTTCAGAAACGTTCTCTCGCGCGTTCCACAAGCCAGACTTGCCGCGCCCTCCGACTGTGCACGATTCGCCATCCGCGCCTACTTGACCTCACCGCTCGCAGTGCCAACCCACCAGCGCTGCATTCTATGCAACAAAGTCTATCCAATCACCATGTTCACGTCTGCCAGTAGCCTACTGTGCAGACCAATCTCATCACCAGACGCCGCAACGCAACAGGAGATAATACAACTTCCCACTAAAACATGTGCCTGGCACGTCGGGAGATTGGCACGAATCGTACGTACCGGACCTGGCGGGCGGAACGAGTGGACTACCCAGACAGACGTCATGTGCATGCATTGTGGGCATTTTCAGAGCGAAGGAAAATGTGCCTGTGACTGCGACAATTGCAATTCTTCGTCTGTGAGAACGTACACGAGGTTTCTGAACAATGATGATGAATGCCGGAGTCTGGTATTTTGGCGAAAACGTGGGACGCTCGATGGGGTTGGTACACAGGGAGAACTCTGGATTCGAGAGGTTTGTCGGACACAGGGTGAGTAGTGACGTTCTGGCGTGTGATGGGATGTGAGATACTGATCAAGTGTAGGAGAAGATGAGCCAGATCGACGATGGATTTTGGATTTGCCGGTGCATTCGGACATGGAACGATGAGAATATTTCATAAAGCGTCAGCACTGGGGGTGGTTTGTCTTCTATGTCACCTTGTCATCAATTTCTGTGTTGTTGTCATTTGTCATTATTTATGTCAATTGGCAACAACCTACTATGCCTGGTTAACACCTTTTGTCTTGTAAACAGGTGATATGTTGGGAAAGATGTACTAACCGGCAGGCATGTAGTTGGAGCCTCCAGGTTGTCGACAAATGTCCACAGGCAGGTACAACACAGCCTGAGGTGCCGATGCAGCATATTCGAACCAAGTGTGAGGTTCGTCGACGGTCATACTCAAATGCGGCTCATGAGGATGTCAGTATCCACCTACCCACCCAAGCATACCCCAGCTCCCGGCATGGCGAGCTTCGTTGGTTGTAACAAATGACGATAAATATATTACCTTTACTATGGAAGGCGGCGCTGCTCTGACAATCTGAGTAACCACTACCCAACGATGCTACTCCTATAAATCATCACGTGCGCTGTTATTTACGCTTTCTACAATAAATGACGACGAATTGACGATAACGGAACACACAAATTGACGACAAGGCGATAGAAATAACGGACCATCCCTGGTCAGCTTCAGCTTTCGGTCCGCAAAGCATGCTTAGCGGAATTACATTCGGCCGCTTGCGGGACCTCGGCGGTGGCTGACGTACCTGAGGTAGCGTCCACGTTGCATCTTCAAGTGCCAATTGGCTGTCGCGGGACTTGTACATAAATGACTTGCATCCAATACAAAAATCTAGGGCTGAATTCACTGTCTTCGTGTCGCGCGCGGGCGTGTAGTGATTGATAGTCAATGCGCTCATTCCTCTAGTTTCCGCTTTCCTACGCCCATTCCGGGCTTCACCACCATGGCGAAGGAGAACCGCGCCTTTGACACTGAGAGACTGGGTGCTGGCTATGGCTTTGAATCGTACCCAAGCAAGACAATTGACCTGCCGCCAACTTGGGTGATGGTTGTTGGCTTGGGGTTTCTTTTGCTTGCATTGGCTTTCTGGGTAAGCAACATCACCATCGGCGTCGAATAGCGAATGAAGCGGCTTTGACTGACACCATGTAGGCTTATGTAGCACTAAACCTGCTCGCGCCTACCCCTCGCCCACCCCGTCGATCGGAGAAGCAGTACATCACTATATTGCCAGATGGCTCGCGCAGTGAACCGAAAGCACTACCGTGCTGGCTGGACAAATGGGACGCCGAGAAGGAGAGCGCGAAACAAGCAGCAGCCAAGGAGCCAGGCAAGAAAGTCGTCGTACCACCACAAATGCCTATTGAGCAAGCAGAGCTATTCATGAGCGTCGTGGTGCCTGCATACAACGAAGAAGAACGACTGGAAGGCATGCTGGAAGAGGCTGTCGAGTTTCTGGAGAGTGAATACGGAAGTGCATACGATGGAGAAAAGGGCCAGCACGAGCAAAGAGGTTGGGAGATCCTGCTCGTGAGCGATGGCAGCTCCGACAAGACTGTCGACAAGGCTTTAGACTTTGCAAAAGAGCATCAACTCAGTCAACACCCTGCCCCGAAACCTGGACCTTGGTCGAAGAAAACCTCGCAGTCAACACACATACCACATGGCAGCATCCGCGTCATTACTCTCGAAGAGAATCGCGGAAAAGGCGGAGCAGTCACCCACGGCATGAGGCATGCCCGCGGCCAATACATCGTCTTCGCAGATGCAGACGGTGCAAGTCGCTTTAGTGACTTGGGCAAACTGGTCGAAGGCTGCCAAAGCATCGAGGACAAACACGGGCGAGGCGTCGCAATCGGTAGCCGTGCACATCTCGTTGGCAGCGAAGCTGTTGTACAGCGATCAGCTCTTCGCAATTTCCTCATGCATTCATTCCACATTCTCCTGCGCGTCATGACGCCCCCAGCCACCGCTCGGATAAAAGACACGCAATGCGGCTTTAAGCTCTTCTCGCGGCCTGCGCTGCCGTATATTATCCCGTATATGCATTCAGAGGGGTGGATCTTTGACGTGGAAATGCTCATGCTGGCGGAGAGTGCGGATATCGCCATGATTGAGGTTGCGATTGGGTGGAAGGAAGTCATGGGGAGTAAGCTGAATGTTGTCTGGGACAGCATCGGTATGGCGTGGGGGCTTGCTTTGCTGAGGGCGTGCTGGATAACTGGTATTTATAAGAGAGATTAGCGTATACGTCCACAGAGGAATGAAACTTCTGTACTTCAGGCCCAAGATCTGATATAATGCTAGTCATTTGTAGTGAAGGCACATTCAGCAGTAAGTCATCCAGGGACTGCACTAATTACCTGATGATCTTTCGTCACCAATTCTGTCTTTTGGCCACAAGATCGGTCAGTTCTAAAGGCAGGATAGCTTCAAGTTGATGGCCTTTGTCGGAATAGGGGAGTTGGCAATAGCAAAGCGTCGCAGAGCACACACACTGTCATATAGTACATTAATGCTGACAGTGACTCGCTGAGTGACAAGACTATTCACGTCTATACTTGTAAGTCATTCATGTAGTTCAACCCTGTCATGTTATGCAGATAGGTTCATCGAATCAACAGTGCGCCGAATATGACCTACTCAACCAGCCGCAGACCTAACAGCGTGGGGATCATTCAAATTCCAATGCTGACTGTTCGGATCAGACCTCCTCATATAAGATCGCTTTGTCAGGGAAACTTGCCGCATGCGCCGCTCCAGCACCCTGTCGTAGACCAGCTCTACCCGCGTGCTTTTATGGGGCAGATCTGTTGGCTATCTTGTCGTGATCGGTGAGGGCGTCACAGTGAGCGTTGACCGGACATCGTCGCGATCACAGATTCCAGCAGCATCTACCAGTTCGAACGCCAATCGATTCCAATCGGCACTGATAAGGATGTCTTCAATCTTGTTGTCTGGACATTTTCCTCATTGAACGGCCACTGGCCAGCAACAGTTGTTGTTATGGGCTCAATCTATTAAAAGCATGTTTTGGGCGGACATGAAGCTGTACGCTTTCTTTTGTCCGAAAGGCGAGAAGGATGCGGACCTCTTCGTTACCGCTTCACAGTGCAGACTTTGGACCACGCCATCAACTACGTTGGATTGTCGTACGTTTGGGGTGATCCCAACTGTCGCGGTCCCATCGTCATCGAACAAGTCTTATAAAAGTCACTCGCAATCTGCTCGATGCTCTGGAGAGGATCGATAAAATGATCAATTCGAACGTCGATATAGGGAGTTCCGGACCATCCCTATTATGAGCAGACCAAAACTGTATCAATCAATTCAAAAATGATGAGCGCGCATCACAAGTCTCCATGCCAGTGAACTAGAGCCCTATTGTCACTTCAACTGGACTGGTTTCCGCGAATTTGTTGCTCCTGTCATATTTCAGTCGCGTGTAAATCATTCAGGAAATTGAACTTTTACGGCATGGGCCTCGTTCTCTACGGCAATCACCACTTCACGCTAGATCGACTCATGCTGCTTGCTACTTGCATGGCTTTTCACATTCACGCTATGAAGTTCGTCAAGTACCTATATGCCTCGGTGCTAGGGTTACAAGACGCAATAGTAACGCGTCTTAGCTCAGTACAACTTTCGGCTAGGTTTATGCAAGTAGGCACATGGGGTAGCTCATGGAGCGGAGGAACGTTGTTCTGTTCCGACAGTTCCGATCGTTCCGACGGTGATAGAACACCAAACTCTCACATAATTAGTTGATCTTGTCACAGATCAAAGCATCACAGAGATGCAAAAAAGAAACAACAAGCGCAAAAAATATGATGTCAGCGGTGGGATTCGAACCCACGCAGGTTGCCCTATGAGAAACCTCTTGAGAGTGCGTCTTCCGAGGAAGACAAGCTTTCGCTTGAGTCACACGCCATAACCACTCGGCCACGCTGACTGATTTGATGGAAAAAATTGTAGTTTGATAAAATATATACAAGCAGTCAATTTTTGGATTCCAGCGGCAGGCTGTGGGGCTGCTCATACCACCTCGTCTGCAAATTCGTTAGCTCAGCAACAGTTTTAATATAGCATGAGTCATACTAATTTCTACTGTTGAGAATATACAAGCATGACGTGCGAGTGAGGGATACAGCTTCTCGGTCAGCCGTTGCTCCAAAGCCGCCTCAGGTGAAGGACGCTGACATGGAGAATCAACATACCTACTTGCTGCGAAGCCTTAACTCGGTAAACTTTATATGAAAAGCGAATTCATCACCCGGCTTGCTGAATGACGTGATCTTTCGAGACTGGACGTAAACCGGCAGAGTATGTATCCTACAGAAGTGTGTAGTGTGAATACCCCACAGGATGGCAATAGTGTCAAGAAGTACAGACGTGCTCCACTGCCCGAGGCAAGAGAGAGTATAACACGTACTCCTTTCGCAGTCTACTCTCTGCTCATTTTTTCAAGGCAGCGTGTACTACGGTTGGTGGTACACTTCATCTGGGGCTGCATACGATGGCTGCTTGCGCTGGTAGCACTGTATAAACCGATGATGTAGATGCGACCGCGATGCCCAATCTCGTATCCACAGTTTAGAGCAGTGAGACCACAAATCCGCATCAGATCCAACTGTCACAGTCGCAACGGAAGCTTAAGAACGAAATCGGGTTTGACCATTTAGTGTTACTATTATAATAATTTAAAGTTAGCGCAAGTGCGCAAGTCTGGTGTTTTAATCTCGACCACTACAGCTTCCACACCACGCCTTCAGCTGACTCAATTGTGGTCAGTGTTACGTGATAATTTCTCTCTAACATGGTATCTTAGCGATGTTTTGATCTTCAACAACCACCAATTGTCTACGTAGACGCCCTCTTTGTCGCCTTCGTCCGCAACTTCATCATCAAAAACACCAGCCCGTAGAATGTGAAAGCCCACAGAACGACTAGGGCAGCGTTCCTCCAGCCATAGTACTCCTCGTTCAAGTTGAGTGTCCTCAGGTAGTCTTGGCCAGTGGTGTATCGGCACACCTGGCAGTTCTCTGTCGCGCCAGGATTCAGGAGGTTTGTGCCCTGACCCATGCCTTGTTGGTAGAGAGTAAGATAGTCGCCACACGTCTGATTTGGAGGAGGGTTGAAGACAGCCAGCTCACTCTCATTGCATTCGACATCGATAGAAAAAGAGGTGAAGGTAAGGAAGGCGCCGAAGAGGTAGTTGAAGGGATCAATATAGTACGCCCTGGTAAGGTAGGAGTTAGCGAGGATCGGGTAGGGGCTGAGCCGGCTTGCGACTTACCAGTATCTCCAGAACGTAGTGATCTGAGCGTAAGGGACAAACACACCACAGAACGACACCAGAGTGGTGATGACGAGTGGGTTCACAAGAGTGGCGAAAGTTGCGTTAGGAGCGTACGCGGCAATCGACTGTCCGATACCGGTGTACAGAAACTCATACCACATCTACGGTAGCCGTCAGCTTGAGTTTCATGATTAGAGAAAGGACAGAGGACTTACCGCGACGAAGAACGTGCTGCCTGCCCACTTGGTCGCGCTTGGCAAGCCAGCGGTCCAGTACCAACACACAAAGTACAATACACCGCAGATGACCAGGTAAGGCAACTCAGAGACAATCAAACCAGTGACGAATGGAGCCCAGTGATAGGTTTTACTCTTCTTCTCACGTGTCTCGTACACGTTACGACGGTCGATGAAGATAGGTTGGAGCTGAGAGATAAGACCAGGCGCGACAAATAGGAAACTGAAGACTGTGAAGAGACGTTGCTGGAGATCGTTTACGCTATTTCCAATCGACCAAAAGGAGAAGCCGTTAAACAGAGACAAGAGGATGTGCAAGATGAACTTGTTGTTGACGTATTCGGTGTTGCGGAACAACGAGACGTTCATGCGGTGGGTGACGATCTTGACTTGTTCCCACATAGGCGCCGCGAATTGATGGCCATCGTCAATAGTGCCCGGAGGTTTAGCGGCGGCATTAGAGACAAGACTTTCGAGCTCTTGGGTGATTTTCTCATGTTCTGGCGAATTGAGCCACACTTGGTTCCAGTCCTTGCCCTTCGAGAGACTGCCTGAGACGACCTCGATCATGTGCTCAGCTGGGTTGGCTTCTCGGGGGCATGGTGCACCATGCCCAGCAAAGTACTTCTTGACAGTCTCAGCATCCTGGCCGATATCACCGAAGTACACAGTCTTTCCACCCTTCGCCAGTAAGAGAAGAGTATCAAATTGAGCGAAGAGATCAGCGGATGGCTGATGAATGGTGACAAGGACAGCTTGTCCAACTTCTGCAAGTTTGCGCAAGAAGCGCACCGTGGTGATTGCTGCTTGTCCATCAAGACCAGAGGTAGGCTCATCAAGGAAGATCAAAATGCTAGGCTTAGCAACAAGTTCGACGCCGATCGTAAGACCTATCACGTCGTTAGTTTATGTTTTGGCCCTGTCCGTCGATTTATAACTTACGCTTGCGCTGTTCAATAGAGAGGCCAGCACCAGGGCGACCAATCAGGGTATGCTCGATATCTTCCAGCTGTAGAAGCTTGACGACCGTATCAACGTAGCGAAGTTTCTCCTCTCGGGGGATTTCGCGCCCTTGACGCAGAAGAGCCGAGAATTCCAGAGCCTCGCGTACCGTGGAAAGGGACTCGTGAACATCCATTTGTTCGACGTAGCCAGCAGATCGCTGGAAAGATACAGGAAGCGGGCGACCATCAACTAGGACTTCACCGTGAATGGTACCGTCAGTCTTACGTTGAGCCAACACATCAAGCAGTGTGGTCTTTCCAGCCTAGATGTGTTCATGTCAGCATATTTCTACATATTTCATGCCAGCAGACTTACACCAGACGATCCCATAAGAGCGCCGAGCATGCCAGGCTTGACGAATCCTTGAACATTGTCGAGAAGAACACGGTCGCCTTGAGGCGTCTTGACAGTGTATGTCAGATTCTTCCAGGTGAATACTGATGTGTTGTGAACAAGCTGGTTGTCAAGTGTCGCGTCAGACTGCTCGGATTCGGAGCCTCGAGATGGCTTTTCGGTAACCTGAGATTCCTCATCCGCAGTAATAGCCTTGGGTACGTGGGTCTGTTTTTCACGGGGGATGAGGAGACCGCGACCGCCTTCACCTTGCTGTTTCCACCGAGAGGTGAAAAAGACAGTTCCGGCAATGAAGAAGATGTACCAGGCGCAGAGGATACCAAAGTTACGCCAAAGGTTGCTGTGGCTAAAGGACATAGAAGCCAAGTATTCATCACCAGTGACGCTGCTTGCTCCCACTCGCGCACCACGGACGCCGGTGCATGCTTGACTGCCTCCTGTTTCAGGGCTGTATCCTTCGCCGTTGGGAACCAGGAATGGACCCACACAAGGGATGACCTGGTCGTGGAACTCATTGCCGAGCAGTGCTTCGTATGCGTAGGCCATAGGGTTGATCCAGTACATCCAGACGAACCAAGGATGCATCTCAGGTTTGGGAATCATGTATCCTGCATACGTGAAGCATGCGACGATTATGAATCCAGAAGCTTTGGTCGCTGCGTCGAAGGACGGGAAAGCGGACCCAATGAACTTAAACAGCTGGGTCATAGCCAAGGCTGAGATCAAGTTGATAAGCCAAAAGATGAAAAAAGCCTGTGCAGTGTACTGAAACCCAGTCATGAAGTACAGCACGATCCCAAAATGGGAGACCTGGAAGAGCATGATAGGGATGTCTGTGGCGATTTGGGCGAAGACGAAGGCGGAGGGGTGGTGCAGAGCAAAGTCGCGGTGCTTAGCTAGAACGGGTCGACCCACAAACGAATCTGTAACCTCAGCAAGGGCTATAAGGGCAGGATAAAGTAGCGCAAAGAAGAGTGCACCCCCCTTGATAAACAAGCCTATTGAGGTGTCTGGAGCATTGTAAAACAGGGAGCCGCCTATCAAGGCCTGCACCACGGTTGTGGCTTGCTTGACGATAAGGGTCTGCTTGTCACCCCAGAGAATTTGAAATTGGCGTATGGTAGCCGTCTTGACCTGGGTGAAGTATCCCGCGGACTCTGCAGCATTCTTGGGAATACCTTTGTTCCTCTCGCGAGCCACCTGTTCCTTGAAATCTGCTGTGTTCTGCTGAGCCTCGGGGCTAGTGGGATAGTCAAGCTCGGCCATCATTCTTCGTTTGATTGACGAGTTGTCGTAGGCAGCGAGAAGCTCGTCCGTTGATCGAGGGGCTCGGTCCTCGAACCCAGGAGCAATGACGCGCACCGCAGGTGAAGACACACCTGCCAGGAAATCCGACTTGTTGGCTGCGGGATCGCACAGGAAGCCAAGGTCCTCCATGTATGGGACAGCTTCATCACGAGTTCCGTAGAAGATCTGCTTGCCTTTGTCAAGAATCAGGATCTTGTCGAATTGCTCATAAATGCCGTTACCAGCCTGGTACAGAGTGGTAATTGTAGCAAGACCGAGGATGTCTGTCATGGCACGCATGGCTTTTGTCCAGTCAAGCGCACTGCTAGCATCAAGACCTCGAGTCGAGTTGTCCCAAGTGTAAACGCTACCTCTGGTTGCAAGACACTCGAGAATGGACACTCGCTTGCGCTCGCCACCCGAAACACCGCGAATAAACTCATTTCCAACCTTAGTGTCCTTTGTGTGTGTGATACCAAGAGACTTCAGAAGGAACTCTTTGTAAGCTTGGGCGTACTCCTCTTCTGTCTTGATGTCCGGTGGCAGATTGAAGGGCACGTTCAATCGCGTCGCAAAGTCGAGGGTGTCGCTGACAGTTAAAGTTGGGAAGAAGATCTCCTCCTCAGTGTTCATGATGATCTGGCCACGATATTGCTTGGCTTCTTCGCTGGTCATGGAACCAAACGAGACATCGCCTGTGATCTCTGCAAAGCCATTTGTGTGGTTTGACAGTAAGTTGAGCAGTGTTGTGCATCCGGCTCCTGGGTTGCC